AGCCCAAGCTTGCTCTGCTTGTGCATGCACTCCTGGAGAATGCGGCGGCAGTAGATGCAAGCAAGAAACCCTAACATTAGGGTTTTTCCCGTCGCTTCATCATACCTTTTGGTGTGAAAAAATCTAGTGCCCACAGCCATGAAGTCAAATAGCTATAGCTTGTAATTAGGTTTGCCTATCCGTACAGCGTGTTTCTTTGCACGAGATTTTGTGACGAATCCAAGGTTTTGTTTTTTACCATGCCACGTCTACTCATATGTCCCATTAGTTTATCCATGGGAAAATAGAGTTTTCTCTAAACAAGATTTTCTTTAAAAATTCTTTTTTAAGAAGACCTTTTTGTGAGTTAAGCATGGGATCTGTCTTGGAATGAGAGAGTAGGACTTGTGTTGTATTTTCATTTACTAATCAAAACACAATTGTAGTCAATGGTATGCCTACACATTTTAGTTTAGAGCGTAACCAAGGACTACATGGTAAGTTTGGGGGAACTAGTTCTTTTGTTGTTCATAGTCCAAAAAAGCATAAATATCGAATTTATTATGTTTCGATATGATGCTAAAGTGATGGATAGTATTGTCTAGAAGACAAAATCCTTGGTGCTCAGCTTGAGTTTGCTGAGTTGTCGAGCTGTGGTGGGTGATTGGCCGACTCTCTCCAGACATCAAAGAGAATATCAAGCACTGCTTGCACTGGTGTTAATGGGCTGGTCATTTGGCAGAACTGGCAATGCAGGATGAATTGAAAGCCATCCCATTAGAACACACTCACCAGAATAATGTCTAACTTATTTATTCTAGGTAGAAACATGCTTATCTTACCTATAAACCAATCTTAACAAGTAGTGACTTACTTATTAAAGTGATTCTGTTATTGACAACTATTGAGGAAGTATGATTGAAAAAACCTTAGCAAGAGCTGCCACCATTGTAATCCAAAGATGCTCCAAGTGCGATACTACCTTGTGCCAAGTTGCTATGCTAAATGTAAAATATAAATCTCTTTAAGTCTGAAATTGAATTCAAAGTTATGCTATATGATAGTGGCTAAAGCAAAATTTTAATGAAAATAACACATTTGGACCAAAAACTCCAACTCAAAAAGTTAAGAGTAGGAGTGGAACTCTCAAAGAAGCATTTGAAAAGCAATTGATAAGTGAGTCTCTAGAAAAGATTAATATGTAATAAGTGTTGTAACATGTGAAAGTGTCAAAATTAAAATCCTAAAACATAAGGACTAGAAGTGGAATAATGTCGAAACCAACTTGTCCCACCGAGAAACCAAGTGTTCAAAATGTTAAATATATCTAAAACCATACATATTTAGAATCTAATATGTTCATGGTTAAACATTTCCAAAGATGGGGCAAAAACCCAAAGTAATCATCTCCTAGACCTTAGGGGGTTTACTAAATTCTTATAGGATAGTAGAGGGAAGATTATAAAGAAATTAGTATGACTAAAAAATATTATACCCATGTGGTGGTAAATGGATAAATAGGGTGACTTGGTGAAGTGTTCAAAAGTTGATTTTAGCTTCTCTAGAAGATCAAATGGTCAATACTCCTAATCCAAGTATGAATGACACTTGGGTACTTTATATAACTCATTGAAACTTTGTTCAAACCATGTGGCTGGAGTACCTTCATAGTAAAGGTGGTGGGAATACCAAGCTTGTATTAGGTTGCAATATTGTAGTATACGTGATCATGGGATAAAATTCAAATATACTGTCACTATAAATCTTTAAAACCTTAGGGGATAAATGAGGATAAAATAGTCATTAAGGGCTTTCTTATCAAGTAATTGCACCTTTTTCCAATTGGCTTAAGAGAAGAGAGATAGGGTGCACTACAAATATTTTGAAATATCACCTATTTTGGAAGGAAGAGGAGTGGTATTTTTGCTCAATAATCAAGGGTATAGTTATATATCTAGGTTAATGAGACTTAATGGGCATGCTTTTAAGCCCAATGGTAGTATTTATGAATACTACTAAAATTGAAAAGAGACTTTGTAAGAATTGAAGAATATTGGAGTATAGTGTGGAATTGTGGTATAGATGGTCTTAGACTATTAATAAGACAATGAGAATGGATATAGCTTTAGCATAAAAGGCTAATATATCAATATCAAAAGTGAGATTTTAGACATGTTGAACACTTAGACCAAGTGTGAAATTGAAATGGATTTAAGGCCACTTTTAGGGTTTTAATAGATACCCCAAGTTGGGAACAGGACCTATAGAAGTTATGAGTGATATTTTTTCAAGTGGTTAAAAGTGTGGTTAAATGACTAAAGTAAAATAGAAATTTAATTCCTTACACTAGATTGATGAGAAGGAAAACAACATTGCCAAACATAAAACCCTAAAATAAGTGTTATGGATTTTTTTAACTTAGTACATATAATGATGTTTAATTTAACTAATATTAAAAAATTCAGAGGTGCCACATATAGCTTGCCATGTGCCTATTGAGGCAGTTCATAGGTACAGGCTCGCTTGTTCCACCAAAACACACTCACTAAACTAACACCCAACTCGCATGTTTTAAGTGGGAACATATTTATCACCCATGAACTAGTTTTAAAAAGTAGTGACTTGTATATTAAGGTGATATAGTTGTTAATAGTCGTTAGTGTTGCAAATATAACTTCAAGTATCGAAAGATACTTATCAATTAATCCTTTCAAACATTCTTTTTTTACTACCACAACAACACAAATGTATGGTAGGGATAATGGTTGGAAGCATGATCGACTATCTAAAATATTAATTTAGTTTTTGTTAGATTATGTCACTCTTTATTCTATGTCCTACTTGGGTTTAAGCCCAAATTCCATGGTGGGGTACCCACCTCCATACATTAATACTAAAATTGTGCAAAACTCCATTTGACACTATGTTGTATCTAGGGTTAAATATAAAGAGTTGGTGCTCATAAGGGATTTAAGAGTGTTCTAATTCCTTGTTTTGTAGTGCAATGAGCTTGGATTTTAGTTCCAAATTCATATGTGCAATTAGAATTATTTGTAAGAACTTTATTATGGTCCTCATAATTAAGTTAATCAGACTGTCTATGGTTGTTGGATAGAAAATGTTATAGCTAATGTAGCACATGTGATTTTCATTGTATACCCTATGGTAAATTATTATAGGATCACCATGGAGTAAAATCTAACTTTTAGATACGTGTGCTAAAGTCAATGGAGTGGGACTTGAGTTTTAGGGCTTTAGGCCATTAAATAAAGGGATAAAGCTAAATTCTTGAATGTATAGCCAAGAAGCAAAAGAACAGGAGCATGGAGTAACAATAAAACAATCCTAGAGTATTTAGAATCTAAATGCTAAGATTAACATACAAAACAGAGTTAAGCAAAGTCTAGTGTTATTTCAATATAGTAGTAGCATAACGTAATGATAAAGGTACTCCACCAAGTAGCATAGTATGGAATCTGGATATAGACCCAAATCGGATACAAAACAACGATAAATATGCCCAGTAGAGAGCCAAATAATATTTTAGATTGGTTAGCTTATAAGGAATAACACTATATTATGAATTTAGAAGTGGGAACAACACCATCTATTTAGGATATTCTCTACATTTTATATATATGCTTTACCAATAGATATAGAAACTTTTTATAAATAGCTAATGGGACTAAAATAAAATTAATATATAAGAAATAATAGCAAGAGTGTCTTGGCGGATATGATAAACTATTGCCTAGTGAATATGAAGGGACTAAACTCAATATTGTAGACATTCCCAACATTAGCAAGTAGAAGCTAATAATATAAATTTATCATTATTATGTCAAGTATATTTGACTAAATGACAATTTAGGATTTCTTTCTTTAATGCCCTTTCTGTCTAAGTGCACATATGTTAACCAATTTGTCAACTGGTTTGGGTGGGGACTAATAAAGAGTACAACAATACCAATCTCTTACTATTATGACATTAAACGAAGACTATTTGAAAAAACTTGCTAATAGGTAACTTTTGATATCTTGCAATCACATTTGCAACATACTTCTCCCTTTGAAAAAAACATTTTTGTTAATACATACTCTAGCTTAAACCCCTGCTAAAGAAATAACTTTTGAAAAAGTTTATGGTGTTTATGCTTTATGAAAAATGCACCAATTTAAATAAGTTATAGAACTATTTCTTTGTCTAATGCAAAATGCACTTACACTTGAATACCATTCAGCCATCATCGTTAAGGAAATAACCATTAGAGTCAACTTGGATCAATTAACTTACAAAAGATAATATGCCTTTATTTACAAATGATATAGAGAGAGAAGTCAAAGTCTTTAACCCTTATAAGCAAATAAATCAAACCTCTCAATACTCAGTAAGGGTGGTTAAAATTGTTTATATAGTCATGCCCATTTTAACAAAAATTAAGAACATTAAAAGAAAGATGGGTTATATGATTAATTGATAGTTATCTTAGGACTATAGATTTCACCATATCCATAAGTCTATCTATAATGGCCCAAACATTAAGATTAATATAATGGACAAAATCAAAGTCGTAAACAAAGATATCCTAGAGTCATTGAGTATATAGTAAAAGAGATTAAAAAAATCAAAGAGCTGAACTTGCTAGTAAATAAAATTCAATTTGGCATTGTTTTCTTCTAAATATTCTTATAACCCAACCATAACTAAATATTATCTGAAAAATAAAAACAGTAAAACAAAAACTCAACACCTAAGTTGTACTGCCAGATCGTGGCTGTGATCACCCTAGAACTCGAGGCAACTCAGCAGAAAAATACCGTATTGGAAAGATAATGATTCATCTGGTAAGGAAGATAATGTAGGGGACAACTACAGTAAACATCTCTCCAACACATTCAGGTTCTAGAGATGGGAATTATTGGGAGGGTCGCCCCTGTTACGCATGAAATTCTCATTACATTGTAGCTAGAAATGTAGGAGAGATCCAGTCTAGTGACCGAAAGAAAAGAAAGCCGTGTGAATGATCCAGCGAAGGCTAGCAGCGAGAGCTCGCACGGCGCCCCACGATGACAGCGATTTGATGCGCCTGGATCACCCGGGCCTCGTTTCTTTCCTGCAGTCCTGCGGTGCCAAAAGAGACTTGGAAGAGGGAAGGCGAGCCCACGCGTTCTTAGAGAGAAGCAATCGCGAGCCCAAGTTCATGAATCTCCTCGTCAAAATGTATGGTCGGTGCGGTAGAGTCGAGGAAGCCAGGTGCGTCTTTGCCAAGATCCCGGCGCCAAATCTTTACTCGTGGACCATGATTGTCACAGCATATGCCCAGAATGGGCATCCACACGAGGCGCTAGGGCTCTTGAGGAGAATGGATCTGGATGGGACGCCGCCGGACAAGGTCGTGCTCAGCATCGCGGTCACTGCCTGCGCCAGCATTTGCGCGCTCTCCCTCGGCAAGCAGATCCACCATCGCGTGGCGACCCTGGGCGTCATCGACGATTTCTTGCGCTCTTCCCTCATCAATCTCTATGGCACCTGTGGCGAGATCTCTCTGGCCAAGAGTGTGTTTGATTCCATGGCGGCAGGGGCCACAAATCTCGTGTGCTGGGCCACGATGATCAAGGCATTCGCTCGCTGCGGGCAATTCCTGGCAGGGATCGAGCTCTTCTGGGAGTGGATTTCCAGAGGGGTAGAGCCGGACGCGGTGACACTCGTGAGCGCGGTGGATTGCTGCGCGGGATTGGGCGATCTGCAGCAATCCCAGGCAATCCACGCTCGCGTCCTCGCGGCGGCGGGGATGGAATCCAACGAGTTCCTGGGCAGCGCGCTGCTGACTATGTTCGTCCGGTGCAAGGCCCTGGATAGAGCGCGCGCTACCTTCGAGGCCATGGAGGCCAAGAGCGTGGTGCCATGGACGGCCATGATCTCCGCGTACGCGCAGATCGCACGGCCCAGGGAGGCCTTCCGGCTGTTCCAGAGGATGGCCATGGAGGGCGTTCGTCCCAACGAGGTGACATTCCTTGGGATCCTCGAGGGATTCGCGACGCGCGCATCGTTCCACCACGGGCGATTGATCCACGCCTGCTTCGACGATGGCAGCGCGCCCATGGCCTTGGAATTCGCTCCACCATCCAGGATCAAGGTGAGCAACGCGATCCTCGACATGTACGCGCGATGCGGCAGCGTGGACGACGCCAGGGCCTTGTTTGATCGCATGGCATCCAGGACGAACATCTCGTGGACGTCAATGGTGGCGGCGTATGCCCAGAACGGGCATCCCAGCTTGGCGTTGGAGATCTCCCGGGAGATGGACCAGGTGGGTATGAGCAAGAACGCCATCACCTTCATCACAATTCTCTCGGCGTGCAACCACGGGGGATTGCTGGAGGAGGGGATTCGCTTCCTTGCGGGCATGAGGCGCGATCACGGCGTGTTGCCCAGCAACGCTCACTACAGCTGCGTGATCGATCTGCTGGGCAAGGCTGGGAGACTGGAAGAGGCCGAGAGCATGATCGCTGGGCTGGTTGAGAGGCCAGATGCTGGTTTGTGGAGGTCACTCCTTGGGAGTTGCAGGATTCATGGAGATGAAGAGAGAGCCGGGCGAGCTGGGGAGGAGCTCAAGAAGCTGGAGCCATCTGATGCTGCCCCATACGTTGTGAAAAAACTGTTTCTTCTTGAGACATAGTAACCCAATTTCTTCTTCCTTTGCAGTTACCGAGTTTAAGAGATGCGAGGAGCCCACCCTTCAAATGCCAGAATACACCTTTTGAGAGATCAACTTCTTGTTTCCACATCATTGAATATTTCAGGGGATGAGCGACTCATCCCAAACGCAATAAAGGAGGACACATAGGGATACTGTGTTTTAATGTACTAATACATTTGTGAATGGGATATGCAACATTTTGGAGAGTTTGACTAACCTCAATATTCACTAAAGTCTGCCAAGACACTTTTGTTATTATGCCTTATGTGTTAATTTTGTTCAGTTCTATTGATTATTTATGAAAGTGTTTAAATTTGTTAATTGGGTATATCTACAAAATGTAGAGATTATAATCGCGTTCGTCCTGCATCTAAATTCATAATTTAGCAATATTCCATATTTAATAAATTTTCATGATTGTCCTAACTCCTAAGACTGAAAACTGGATGAAAAAGCCTTTCAATTGTACACATTTCAAGTTGGGATGTCTATTTTAAACATATACCACCACCATCATTGTTCAAGAGATCTTTGTCCTGGATGGCATGCAATTTGGCCTTGGTGTTGTCCATGCTACTGCATTGCATGTACATGTTAAGGATCACATTGTTCACATTGATCCTGGATGATGGAGCAAATTGGGTGTGCTACCATTGTTAAAGCAGGTGTTTATCAATCACCCATGGTGGAATGATACACATGTTACGAATCACCTCATTCCTCTGGAACTGCTGAAGGTATCCTAGGCCTTGTGATCAGTGCATAGGCAAAGATCATGGTTTTCCATGGCACACCGTGCCTTGAGTTGAGAGGCAATTCAATGGCATGAATTTCTCAAAAATAATATGTCAATTTATTGGTGACTAGCAATTGCTAGTCAAGGTTATCAAGGATTAGACAACAAAAGATTCCAAACGCTGGGCTCCTAGTGGCTTTGGGCCTCACACTACTCCTCATTGCTGCAGTCCTTAGCAACAGGATGACTCACTTCCCTTAGTTTGGGGATGCAGGTGCTCCAACAGTGAAATTGGCTATACAGTTAGTCATATGCTTTGCAACTTGGTATATTGCGTACTTTATTGCATAGAGGTATTTAAGAAATTATTTAAAGAGTCTTTACTACTGAATTATTCATGCATTGTACCTTGGCTTTTGAAGAACAATTACGCAGTTTGCACTTGTCTCATTTAGCACAGTGTCCTAGCAATTAAATCGTTCAGCAGCTCATAATACCCATTATTGTCATATTGCAGGTAACATTAATTTAAGGTCTTCACAATCATAGGAAGTGGAATTGTTTTGATGTTGCACAGGAATTCAATGATCCCAAACAGACCCTCCTCCAAGCCAAAACTAAGTGTACTCCTCTATAATTTATTTTTTCAACTGTGGAATTAACACAGAGACACACAAAAGGCAAATTGTACCTATATGCCATGCCATGCCAACATTACCATATTCTGTGGCTGCCAAATTAGAGGTCCCATATGGCATTAAGCTAAGAGGCAACAAACATTGACTAAATCCAAATATTGATATATACCTGCAGGATGAGTGACCCATTTCATGGTTTGAATCACTAGCTTTAAACTAGATTTATTTAGAGGACCCTATAAATTAGGAGGGTATTAACTAAAAGCTTTGTTTCTATTTTAATTGGTTTTACTTGGCATCATCATCAATGGAAGAGTAAAGGTAAAGGAAATTTTGTAGCATTAAAATATTAGCAAGGATATGTATGTGAATCCCATTTTGGTATAATTATTGTGTCTAGAAAATAGTTTTTGATGAGATTCATAAAGAATTAAATTACAATCATCTTGAAGTGAAATAAATCTTATAAAATAGTTTTTTGAATTTTTATAATTAATTTTTGGGGACAAAATTATAACTTGTTTTTCCAGAATACAAAATTATTTGTCCATCTTCCTGTAGGATGAACTCACAATTATGATAATTATGAAATTCTCTAAACCATTTTAGGATATTATGTATATATAATGCTTGTCAAGGGTATAATTGACCATAAATATGTATATTTGTATCCTTGATATTTAAAATTTTATCCATTATTAATTTAAATTTACTTTACCAATACACAATTCTTTAGGTACATGCCAGCAATGCTCACTACAGCTGTGTGATCAATTTGCTAGGGGGTAAATTTGATGCAATGCACCATACTAATTATTGTGTTATATGATGTTCATTTGTCCTTCTTTTCCCACTTGATAACAAAGGAAAAACTCTTTCCACAAAAAAGAAGCATGCTTCTTCCCCCCAAAATGACCAGCCTTTAAATGATCATGATAATAAAATAAAACTGGAGCAATTAATGCATCCACCCATGGCAAATATAGATGGCCAAAACAAATAATGACAAAAAAAGTTAAATAGGTATTTTAATCTTAAGCTTTATGGGGACTGAAACAAAAGTAAAAAAAAATACTAAGAATAGCATGGCTAGAGGTAGAGAGTATGATTGCTGGGCTGATTGAGAGGCTTGAGAATGTGGAGGTCACTCTTTTGGGAGCTGGAGGATTCATTGAGATGAAGAAGAAAAAGGTCTTCATGCTTTGGGAAACATACACTCCTCATACAAAGCCACGACTTCCTTCTTGGGCGTGTTGGAGCGCAGCTGCATCACCTTTGCGCCATACCCGGCCTCGGTCATCTCGTGTTTCATCTGCGCAACCGTGAGCTTGCGATAGTCACGCTGCTGGCTTTGTTGATTTTGGTTTTGCTGCTGCTGCTGCTGTTGCTGCTCGGTGCTGGCATGATCGTCCATACTCTCCCCCGGAGTGAACCCCAGGCTACTGCCATTGTCAAAGTTGAGGTCCAGGCGAGGCCTCTTGTTCCGCCCCAGGCTCTCGCTCGGCGGCGGCGTCATCTCCGGCTCCTTGTCATCCGACCCGCGCTTCCTCCTCCCCGACGACTCCGCCTGTGTTCGCAGCTTCGTCTCCAGCGCCGTCTCGTTCAGCCGGGACGTGGCCAGCTCGTGCTGGAACGAGTCGAGCTTCGCCTGGACGCCCTGGAGCTGGATTGACAGTGCCTCGGCCCTGCCGCTGGCTTCCGCGTGTGCTGCTCGCTCCGATGTCAGTAGCCCCTCGAGGACGTGCACTGTGCTGATCCTCTGCTCGTGAGCCTCCTGGAGCAGGACCTCCATCTCATGTTCCCGCTCTTCCAGCCGCCTCTCCAGGGACTGGCACTTGGTCGACGCATCCTGCTCCGCCACCTTTGCGGTTTCTAGCTCTTGCAACAAGCCCTCCTTCTCCCTGGCCAGGGCCTCGGCATGCCGCTCCGCCTTCTCTATGCCGGCCAGTCTCTCCATCGCCATCATTTGGTAGTGTTTCGACTCTTCGCGTAGAGCAACGAGCTCCTCTTCTTCCGCAAGCGCCTTGGCCTCGTGAGCCTGAAAGAACAGTTGCCGAGTTTAAGAAAAGTAAAAGAAACACGAAGAGCCCAACCTGCATGCGGGCCTTCAAATCAGCAACAAGGCGTTCGCTCTGCTCCAGCTTCGCGTTCGTCTCATTTAGTACAGTGTCCTGGCAGATGAAAATCAGAAAGATGGGAAAATACGCACATCCAGAAACAAACCTTCTGCGACAACTTAGAGGCAAACTCGGTTCGCAGCGCATCTTCTCTCATTTGTTGTTGTTTGTTTCCACGTTCCCGAAGCGCATTGAACCGTTCAGCGGATGAGCGGGACTCATTGGTCACAGAGTCATGTTTCCTCCGCCATTCGGCGGCCTCCTCCTTTGCCGAATCGGCCTGCTCACGCGCAGCCGCCAGTCGTGCTTCCGCAGCACTACACCTGCTTTGAAGTGCCGAAAGCTCGGATCTTTGCCTCTCCTCCACTAAGCGTCGGTCCCCAGACGCATGCTCAAACTTTTTTTGCCACTCCAGGGCTTCCTTCAGCGCTACTTCCAGCTGCTGTGCAAGGCTAACCCGCTTCTCTTCTGACTTGCCAAGTTTACTCTGGAGACTTGCGTACTGGCCAGCCGAGAGCTCACTAGAAGATTTGTAGTCCGCTATGGCTGCTTCATACCTTCTCTTCCAGTCCATGGATTCTCTTTGCGCAGCTTCTATCTGTCGTCCGGTCAGTGCAAGCTTATCTTCCAGCGAACGGCATTTCAAATCAAGACTTGAAGCTTGTGATGCTGCATGATGACTAATTTTCTTAAATAGATCGCTGATTGATCCTTCCAAGCTGCAACAGACCAGAAGTTTTGTAAGGCCAAGTTCTAAGAAACATGTTACTCACCTCTGTTGAATAAATTTTACAAGTTTTTGCCATTTGGCAGGTCCAAAAACCGATTTCTCGTATTGTACAATTAGCTCGTTTAATAACTGTAAAGCGCTTATAGTTATATTGCAAAAAAAAAAAAAAAAAGTTACCTGCAATATCTGATCCAGGGAAGCATTTGGCGAGTGGCATGCCATTCTTAATTTATCATCCATGCCTTCAATCACTTTCACGCATTTCAGCTCTGCTTCCATTGAAGACCTTTGCTTGTAGTCCTAAAAAGAAAGCTGATACGATGCATAAATGGAAAACAAATGTAAATACCTCGAAATGCTTTCTTAGAGCCGTTTGCAACTGTCTTTCATACTTTGACCTGATAGGACCCGCTCCGACAGCCTCAGCATTATACACAGAGAGAGAAGCTTGGAATGCTTTGTCGTATGCTTCTTGCAAAGCATTCTGTAAGACAAAATCGTAAACGATCTGACTTGAGTTCTAGTAATGGTTACCAGGTCTGGAGGTGTCGATTTATCAAAGGACCTCATGTAAGTCTCCAACGCCACATCGTACGCACGGCGGCACTCATTCTCCTCAACATTCTGTACAGTAGAGAGAAAATAATCAAAGAGAACAAAATGGGGCAAGCATTACCTGCCACGATGTAGCAATTGTGGGGACAGCACCTGCGTTTATAGCGTCCAGAAAAGACTGTGTTAGACCTGCAAGCATGGGA